ATAATTGTCTCTTCTTTAATTTTTTGCTTTGTCTCTATTTGCGTTTAAGTGGATAGTAAATGATGATTAGAAATGCATGTCCATCTCTGTTTAAGCATTGAAAGGCAAGTCCTTCTCTGTTTTGTGAGTGGATAGTAAATGATGATTAGAAATGTCTTTAGTTTAGTTTAAGTTTTTAGTTGCTTGCATTTAATGCTAATTACACAACTAACACTTTCACCTAACAGAGACTTTTATTACTAAAATTAATTAGAAAACACAACCCTTATATAACAGCAACTTAAGACCTATACCTAAGACAAACCACACCTCTTTCATTCTCCTACTAAAACACTCAGAAACTCATTCTCTCTTTATGAATCCTTTTACACAATCTGCTGGCTTCATGGACCTTTTAAGTAGTCAACAAGAAACCCCATTCTTGCAGCCCAATGGCTTTGAGAGAGATTCACCAAGTATTGAACTTGGTGAATCTGAAGAAGTTGTCTTCAGCACCCAATGGTCTGAAGTACCAAGTCAAGATGAAAACATTCCTGCTACACGCATACCAAGAAAGAGGAACAAGTGGACATCCAAAGAAGATGTGGTCCTCATCTCTGGTTGGTTAAACACACGCAAAGATCCCATAATAGGTAATGAGCAAAGAAGAGAAGCTTTCTGGAAGCGCATTGCAACCTACTTTGCAGCTAGTCCCAATGTTTCTACTTTGAAACAGAGGCTGCCAAGTCATTTCAAACAAAGGTGGGCAAAGATTAACGAGATTGTTTGCAAGTTTGTGGGATCCTATCAAGCTGCAACAACTCAGATGACAAGTGGGCAGAATGATGATGATTTGATGAAGCTAGCTCATCAGATTTACGAGAGTGATTAAAAGAAGAAGTTCATGCTAGAGCATGCATGGAGAGAGTTAAGACATGATCAGAAGTGGTGTGCATCACAGTCTACTAAAGAGACTTACAAGAGTAAAAGAAGAAAGGTTGAATCCGGTTCTATAAATTTTTCTGAAGCTTCCCAAGCCCATGGAGAGTCCGTAGCTTCTCAAGCTTGTCCACCTGGTGTGAAGGCTGCCAAAGGTAAATGCAAAAGGACTGCCAACAGTTCACCAAATGTGGAAGTATAAGGGCAGGCATTGGAAATGATTCAGATTTTGTGGGACATAAAGCAACAAGATTTTGCTAAGAACATGCTTTGAATGATAAATTTACCAACAAGAAATTGCTTGAATTTCTTCTAGCTAAATCTGATCCTCTTACTGAAATTGAGGAAAAACTAAAGACCAAGCTAATTAGAGAGATTTTGCTTTGAATTTCTTGCTTGTATTTATGTTTATGTTTATGTTTATGATTGTCTTTGTGTTTGTGTTTATGTTTTTATTTATGTTACCAACAATGTAGTTTGTGATTATGGTTCTATTTCATATGCTAAATGATGTTTATGTTTCAATTAGTTTGTGTCTTTAAGTCTTATTTCTGTAAACAAACAAAACAAGATATTTTGTTATCATTGTTTTGTTCTCTGTTAGTATATTCTCTGTATGTTCACGTGAAAGGAGAAGAAGAAAACAAAATGATAGACACCACAAGTCTTCTCTGTAAGTTCACGGACACCACAAGTTTTCACTTTATTTTGTACCACAAGTTTTCACTTTATTTTGTACCACAATTTATCACTTTACTTTGTACACCATGTATTATTTCGGAAGCTTTGCTATAAATATCACCATGTAATATCACTTGTCTTCATTCTCTTTTGTTCTTACAAACTCAATACAAAAAATCCAAACCAATACCACAACCAATTACTTGTTAACAAACCAAATCCAAGCCTTATTTTACTCCAAAAATAATTACTTGTTCTCATACCAAATCCAAGCCTTCATATTTTCTTTTCACACCAAATTCTTGTTCTCAACCAAATCCAAGCCTTCATTTTCTTTTTACTCAAAAAAACCCAAAGAATTCTACTTCAAACCAAAAAAATCCAATATTTTCTACATAGAAAATGGCATCATCTTCCCGTGATAATTTTGAAGAAATGATGGATGAAGAATTTGATAGTATGTTCGATCAAGAATTGGATAATTATTTGTACAATTACGGTGATCGTCAACAAGCAACAAAACCGAAGAAAAAAGAGTCTATATTGAAAGACATCGTGAAGAAGGACCCATCCAATTATGGAACGATTATTTCGCAGAAAATCCAACTTTCCCTCCTAATCTATTCCGACGCCGTTTTAGAATGAAAAAGCCCTTATTCATGCGTTTTGTTGATCGACTCTCCGCAGAAATTTCATATTTTCAACAAAGAAGAGATGCTATCGGAAGGTACGGTTTCTCTGCACTGCATAAGTCTAATGCAACAATTCATATGCTTGCATATGGTTGTGCGGCTGAGGCGGTTGACGAATACCTCTGGATTGGTGAAACCAATTCGATGAAGTGCATGGAATATTTTGTTGACGGAATAATTTTTTTTGTTTGGAGATGAGTACCTACGAAAACCCACACCAGAAGATCTTCAACGGCTACTCCTTATTGGAGAGATTTGAGGATTTTCCGGGATAATGGGAAGCATCGATTGTTGCATTGGGAGTGGAAGAATTGCCCCACCTCTTGGATAGGACAATATACTCATGGCTCTAGAAAACGATCTTTGGTTTTCCACTCTCAATGCATACAATCGATGCTTTCCATCATCCTGAGAAATCCTCGAATCTCTCCAATAAGGAGTAGCCGTTGAAGATCTTCTACTATGGGTTTTCGTAGGTACTCATCTCCAAACAAAAAAATGATTCCGTCAACAAAATGTTCCATGCACTTCATCGAAGTGGTTTCACCAATCCGGAGGTATTCGTCAACCGCATCAGCCGCACAACCATATGCAAGCATACAAATTGCTGTAGTAGACTCTTGTAGTGCAGAGAAACCGTACCTTCCGGTAGCATCTCTTCTTTGTTGAAAGTATGAAATTTCTGCGGAGAGTCGATCAACAATATGCATGAATAAGGGATTGTTCATTCTAAAACGGCGTCGGAATAGATTAGAAGGGAAAGTTGGATTTTCTACGAAATAATCGTCCCATAACTAGATGTGTCCTTCTTCACGATGTCTTTCAATATAGACTATTTTTTTCTTCAGTTGTGCTGCTTGTTGACGATCACCGTAATTGTACAAATAATTATCCAATTCTTGCTCGAAAATATTATCAAATTCTTCGTCCAACGCTTCTTCGAAATTATCACGGAAAGATGATGCCATTTTCTATGTAGAAAATATTGGATATTTTGGTTTGAAGTAGAATTTTTTGGATTTTCTTGATTAAAAAGAAAAGGAAGGCTTGGATTTGGTTGAGAACAAGAATTTGGTGTGAAAAGAAAATATGAAGGCTTGGATTTGGTATGAGAACAACTAAATGTTTTTGGAGTAAAATATGGCTTGGATTTGTTTTGTTAACAAGTAATTGATTGTGGTATTGGTTTGGATTTTTTTGTATTGAGTTTGTAAGAACAAAAGAGAATGAAGACATGTGATATTATATGGCGATATCTATAGCAAAACTTCCAAAATAATACATGGTGTACAAAGCAAAGTGATAACTTGTGGTACAAAGTAATGTGAAAACTTGTGGTACAAAGTAAAGTGAAAACTTGTGGTACAAAGTAAAGTGAAACTTGTGGTTTCCGTGAACCTACAGAGAAAACTTGTGGTGTCCATCATTTTGTTTTCTTCTTCTCGTTTCACGTGAACTTACAGAATATACAAACAGAGAACAAAACAATGATAACAAAATATCTTGTTTTGTTTGTTTTACAGAAATATGACTTAAAAGACACAAATTAATTGAAACATAAACATCATTTAACATATGAAACAGAACCATAAACTCAAACTACATTGTTGGTAACATAAACACAAACATAAACACAAACATGAAGACAACCAGAAACATAAACATAAACATAAATACAAGCAAGAAATTCAAAGAAAAATCTCTCTAATTAGCTTGGTCTTTAGTTCTTCCTCAATTTCAGTAAGAGGATCTGATTTAGCTAGAAGAAATTCAAGCAATTTTTTGTTGGTAAGTTTATCTTTCAAAGCATGTTCTTAGCAAAATCTTGTTGCTTTATGTCCCACAAAGTCTGAATCCTTTCCAATGCCTGCCCTTCTACTTCGACATTTGGTGAACTGTTGGCAGTCCTTTTGCCTTAACCCTTGGCAGCCTTCACACCAGGTGGACGAGCTTGAGAAGCTACAGACTCTCCATGGGCTTGGGAAGCTTCAAAAGAATGTATAGAACCTGATTCATCCTTTCTTCTTTTACTCTTGCCAGTCTCTTTAGTAGAATGTGATGCACACCACTTCTAATCATGTCTTAACTCTCTCCATGCATGCTCTAGCATGAACTTCTTCTTGTAATCACTCTCATAAATCTGATGAGCTAGCTTCATCAAATCATCATCATTCTGCCCACTTGTCATCTGAGTTGTTGCAGCTTGATAGGATCCCACAAACTTGCAAACAATCACATTAATCTTTGCCCACCTTTATTTGAAATGACTTGGCAGCCTCTGTTTCAGAGTAGAAACATTGGGACTAGCTGCAAAGTATGTTGCAATGCGCTTCCAGAAAGCTTCTCCTCTTTGCTCATTACCTACTATGGGATCTTTGCGTCTGTTTAACCAAGCAGAAATGAGGAGCACATCTTCTTTGGATGTCCACTTGTTCCTCTTTCTTGGTATGCATTTAATGAACAAACAACAATACTAATCACACAACTCAAGTCTCACCTAATATATATTATCAATATTCAGATCAGTTTAGGAAGAAGAGACAGTTATTACTTACCCTAATCCCTGGTCTTATTCCGGAGTAATTCTCCTCTGAGTTCTCTCATAAAATCTACAATCATATGTAGCAGATTCCATCTTTCTTTGTATCTCCATATAATCCTCGCAGTCAAACAGAGATCATTTGATCAAATTCAAGAGGGAAACTAATTCAATTCAAGAGGAATTTGTTAAAACAGACACAAACAGACACAAACAATGTGTTAAAAGAAATCAATTCATCTCCATACATGACCTCAAAATAAAACTGACCTAATCTATATCACAACCTCATCATTTTAACACATAAATCTCAAAGAAACCAAACAATCATGTGTATAGAAACCAAAACAGATACAAACAGACACAAACAATGTGTTAAAAGCATCAATTCATCTCCATACATGACTTCAAAATAAAACTGACCTAATCTATATCAAAACCTCATCATTTTAATACATAAATCTCAAAGAAATCTAATACTCATTCGTATAGTAATTAATCAAAACAGACACAAATTATAGAATCAAACAACTCAAAGCGTAAATCGAAACATTCATCAACACAAACAATCGGATTAAAAACTATCTACACAAACAATCAGATTAAAAACTATCTACACAAACAATCAGATTAAATAAAAGAGTAATTGGTGTAAACTTTATTAAAAATCAAGCCTAAATATACAGACAGATAAGATTAACCCTAATTTTACAAAAAAAAAAAACCCTAATTTCCCCACACTCAAACAACATCAAATCGAACATGCAGAGAGAGATTCATACCAGAAATGACCGATTTGTGAAGGATTAACTCCGATTTGTTGGAAAATCGGAGATCTTGAACTTAGATCTACGATTACAGCTTCTCCTCGTCGCCGATTAGAGCTTCTCCTCGTCGCCGTGGAAACCCTGCTTCGGTGGAGATGATGAGATAACTCCGGTAGGTCGGCCGGCGGATAGAACCAGCGGTGAATCGGAGATTTAACTCAATCCCCTCCTTTGTCGCTAGAGCAAAAAAAACAAACGCGTGAAAATAGAGAGAGAGAGAGAGAGGAGGAGGAGAGAGAGAATCCCGATTCTCTTTTTTTTTTTCCGTTTTATATTTCTTCTTCCACCAATGGGGTGGCGACACGCATCCCCCTCTTACTTTATCTTTTGTCTCTTAATTAAGAGACGTTTCTTAAGAAATATCAACATTTGCCATTGAATTAAATTCATATTAAGACCTAAGATTTTGTAGAATATGTTTGACTCAGAACTAACAAGTTTAATTGCATATGATTCTATCTGGGAAGCATAATTAATTAAATTAGACAAACAATATTAGATATCCGATATGAAATAAATATATATATATATATATAGGTTGAAGAAAAGAAAACATATACTTTTAAATCTAAATAAACATGACTAGAGTTTCTGTTATATTGATTGAGTTTGTATAGTAATCCAAGATTTTTACTTAAAAAATTTCAGAATTTGAATCTTATAAGTAATAATATAAAAACAATTATTTAAAGAACATATCATCAATTGGTTGTGAGTTAAAAAAAATCTTATAATTTGTTTGCTTGTGATCCTATTCTACAAATGTTTTGTGAGTTATCATTACAAATATGAAATCATTACGAGATGAAGAAGTAAGAAAAATAAAAAAATTATCGTCAATTAGTTTTTTTTTTGTGCACCCAATAATATATAAGCTCATCAAATGTTCTGTCCGTACAAACTAAGGCAATGCTTAGCGAGAGTATCAGCCACAACATTTGCCGACCTAGGAATAAAACGACAAGTAAAACTTGAAAGAGAATTAACACATAGGAAGATATCAGAGATGATCCCATGGATTTCCAAGATAATTGATTGGGCATTGATGGCACCAACCAATTGTAGACAATCGGATTCTAGAAGTAGATGAGTAGCTCCTGAATCAATTGCATCCATAATTGCAGCTCTACAGGCCAAGCTTTCTGCCATAAGAGGTGAAGAGACATTCTCGCAAAGTGCAGAATGATGAGAGGTGATTCCTGGTGGGACTGAGGATGTCCAGCCTAAACCCGCAGCTTGAAGATCCTTGCGCCATGCCCCGTCTGATCTACAAGACATACCAGAGATACTCAAAGTAGAGCCGTTCATCCGTGAGTGAGCAGTCGCGGAGCTCGATACAGGAGGCAACTTCTTAGATTGAGCTGAGAGCCAATCCTTTGCATCCGTGATCGCTTTAGACAGAGATTCTTCAGCACTCCAGACACGATCTTTGAAAACTAACTGATTTCTAGTCTTCCAAAGGGTCCAACAAAGCCAAGGAGCTAAGGGACCAGAACCAACACCAATCGGAGGAAGACAAACTAAACCCATTGCAGCCTTTAAACCCTCTCTTACAGAGCTAGGAGAGAAGAAGGAGTTAGGAAGCTGCACAACTGGAGCTAGTTTCCATACCTTCTGTGCAAAAGGGCAGGAGAAGAGGACATGAAGGATGGATTCTTGTTCCCCACACCTACCACAGGAGATATTAGCTGCAATACACCTTTCCGCCAGTTGTTGTCCAGTAGCCAAGGCTCCATGAAGTGCTTTCCAGAGAAACATTTTAACTTTGGGAGCAGTATGGATAGACCAGACATCAGCTTTCCAATTAACCCCAGAAGTATGGGAGTTTGGAGTAGAAATTACAGACCCTGCAATCGCTACATAATAACCAGATTTTGTGGTGTATTCCCCATTAGGGTTTCCAAGCCAAACAAGCCTATCAGCTGCGCCTAACCTGCTTGGTTTAAGAGACAGGATCTTAGCCGCTGAATTAGGAAAAATGCCATGGATCTTCTGTGCATCCCAGTCCACTGAATCCTGGACAAAGAGGTCCTTTACTCGCCAATCCTTTGTGCTTAAAGGAGCAGGCCCCATTGGTTGACATGGCTTAGAAGTAGAAAGCCAAGGATCAGACCAAATATTGATAGAGCAACCATCTCCAAGAGCCCAGCCAAGCTTTTGTTGGAGCAGATCCCGGCCTACAAGGATGCTTCTCCAGCCATGAGAGGCATTAGAAAGACAAAGGGCTGTCACAAAAGAAGTAGAGGAGCAGTACTTTCCCAAAAGTATACGCGCCAGAAGACTGTTTGGGTTTTTTAAGATCCTCCAGCCCAATTTACCAAGCAAAGCGGCATTAAAATTCCTCAGGTCTCTCAGCCCTAAGCCTCCATCATGCTTAGACTTGGTGAGCTTGTCCCATGCCACCCAACACATGCCTTTTTTATCCGCCTTAGAGTCCCACCAGAACCTAGTCAGTGCTGACTGGATTCTCTTGCAGATTGAGACAGGCAATTGAAAGCAGGATATAGCATAGGAGGGCATAGCAGAGAGAACACTTTTAAGGAGAGTCATTTTACCCGCACTGGAGAGAAACTTATTGGACCAAGAGAGAGCTTTTTGTCTGATTCTATCAACAATAGAGGAGAAAAGATCCTTCTTTTTTCTTCCAAAGTGCTCCGGGAGGCCTAGATACTTGCCTACTCCGCCATCCTTCTCCACACCAAGTATTTGCTTTGCTCTTTGTCTCTGACCCGCAGGAGTTTTGCGAGCAAAGGAGATGGAAGACTTAGAAGTATTAATTTTCTGACCTGAGGCAGCTTCATACAGACCAAGAATGCGTTTCAGAGCCAAACAAGAGCTTTCACTAGTCTTACAGAAAAACATGGTATCGTCAGCGAAGAGAAGGTGATTGATCCTTGGAAACTCTTACACCATGCAGCTGACCAGAGAATTGAGCTCTCTTGCATAATCCAGAGAGAACCTCGCTACACAGGATGAAGACATATGGAGAGATAGGATCCCCTTGCCTTAAACCTCTAATAGGGATCACCCTGCCACTAGGGGTTTCATTCACCAGAAAAGAGTATGAAACAGTGGAAATACACTGCATAATCCATCCAGTCCAGACCGGGTGAAAACCTAGCCTTTTGAAAACCATCTCAATGAAGCTCCACTCCACTCGATCATAAGCCTTGCTCATGTCAGTCTTCACAGCCATTGAGCAGTGTTTCTTTGCCCCCGAGTTCTTCAGGAAGTGCAAAACTTCATGTCTGATTAGCACATTATCCGAAATAGCTCTCCTAGGGATAAACGCAGATTGGGTTTCAGAGACAATGCTACTAAGGACAGGCTGTAGCCTATGAGACAGAATCTTGGCGATGGCCTTATTGTAAACATTACACAAGGCAATAGGCCTATAATCTGCTACCTTCTTGGGACCTTGAATCTTTGGTATTAGGCGAATATGGGTATCATTCAGATTTGGAGGCATGATCCCTGTAGAGAAGAACTTTTGAATTTCTGAGATAATAGTAGGTCCAATAGCTTCCCAGTTTGAGTGGAAAAAACAGGCTGAGAAACCATCAGGCCCGGGCGCCTTGCCAGGATGTATGTCAAAAACTGCATCACGAATTTCCTTAGCACCAGGTATTGAGATAAGGGACTGGTTTACATCAGCAGAAATACAGGGAGAAAGAGCTTCCAAAACAGTGCTCTCCATATTGACATCTTCAGCTCTAGAAGAAGAGAAAAGATCATGGTAATAAGAAGATATTACCGCCGCAATCTGATCTTCCTCGAAAAAAGCAGCTCCATTATCATCCTCTGTCACAGAGAATTTGTTGACAGCCTTTCTTCCTCTTGTGGTAGCATGGAAGTAACCAGAATTTTGGTCTCCAAGGCACAACCACAACTGTCGGCTCCTTTGCTTCCAAAAGGCTTCTTCTTCTTGATAGGCGGCTTTAAGAGAGGCATTAATACCAACTAGCAGCTGTTCATCATGAACCAGGCTAACCATCGCATTCTCAAGATCCTCACGCAAGCTAACAATGACCAATTGACTGTTGCGTTGCTTTTCTCTATTCCACTGAATTAGAGCCCTTCTGCAGTTGGCAATTCTGCATTGAACTGAGTTATCCTCTGAAACAAACCAAGTATCCTTGATTAGATTTTTCACTTCTTCATTATCTTTGAGCCTTCTGTCATACCTGAACAAACCCTTCTTCTTCTTCAAGTCCAGAGTGAAGTGAGAGAGATAAGAGGCCGGTGATCAGAGCCTTCAAACCTTAGGTATTGGCATCTTCCGTCTGGGAACATCTCAGCCCAAGCACTGTTCCCCAAAGCTCTGTCCAAACGACAGGTGACAACATGAGAATGACAGACCCCTCTCCAAGAAAAAGGGTTATCCGAGTGACGCAGATCATAAAGATCACACTCCGAGAGAAAAGATCGAAACTCCACAAAAGACCATTCAGTTCTGGGAGGTCCACCCTTCTTTTCAGAGTTATCCACCAACTCATTAAAATCCCCAGAGGGAAACCAGGGAGTCTCTCTATCAGCAGCCATCAGCTTAAGTTCTTCCCAAACCGCTTTCCTCTTACTTTGGTCAGGATCGCCATACACAAAGGTTGCAAAGAACACATTGCCATGAGATGTAACTTTTGAGTCTACAAAGTTATCACAAGATGAAATAATCTCAATCTCAATATCATGTTTCCAACACAAGGCTAAACCACCTCCACCATGTCCATGAGGAGGGACAATGGAGCTATGCACAAAATTTAGACCTTCAATCGCTTTGAACACTACATCTTCTGGATTTCTTCTCCATGAGGAAGAGAATATCAGGAGAAAAGTCTTTATTAATCTCACTGATACGACGAACTGTCATTGGGTTCCCCAGCCCTTGACAGTTCCAGCTCGCTATCTTTAAGGAACAGGGCTGGAGTGGAGCCGAACACGTAAGTCATTACAAACCGAAATATTCATGTGGCTATTGTGTGGAATTTATACAAAAGTATTAGTTCATACGAATTTATTAACAATACGTTAGATAATTTATTAAAAATCAAATTAGTGTTTCCCTTGACTTTTGTACTTCGAAGTTCAAAGGAACTTTCTTTATCATTTCAATGAAAATTGCATGGAAGTAAAAAGATGGCTTCACAATCTATACCAAACTTTATATACAAAAGTCAAACTTCTCATTCAGCTTTCTAGGAAAAACTAACTCTGTAAGAGATGATACTTCTAGATCAAACATTTTTGAATTTTTTTTAATATAAATCTAACTTTCTGTAACGTAATATATTCAATATGTTCATTTTAAATAATAGTGAATACACAGATCGGGTAAAAAATATTTAAGATATCAAAAATTATACTTGAAAAGTATATTTTTAAAAGCATGAATGGGTACGGATGTACCGTATATGGACAATTCAGATATACAAAATCACCACTCAAACGAATAAAAGTAATATTCATATTCGGATATCTTTAGATATTTCAGGTAAAATGCATTTATTCAAAAAGAAACTCCCGATTTGAGAAATTCTGGATAGTTTTAATAATTTTTAGATAATTTTAAATGATTTTAAATCTTGACAAAACAATTCCTATATAGGCTAAAATATTGAAGAAATATATTTTGAAAAATAAAATTTAGTAAATAAAGAAAATGTTATTGAAAACAGAAGTAACATCCAATTTTTGGATTCATGTGCTCTCTTTGCATGATAATCGAGACAATATAATATTATTTTGCATATAATATTCTATATTTGATAAAGCCAATTATTATTAAAACTATCAATATATATTTCAATATTAAAAATTATTACTACAAAAATTTTGTATACTAAATACTAAAAATAATTTAAACTTTATAAAAAGTAAATAGTGAATAAGTGAATAGTTTATGGTTTTTATGTGATAATTATATTTGATTAAATGAAATAGTAATAAAAAATTTTAGATTAATTAGAGATTTCGTAAGAAGACTGGAGCAAGGGGAATTGATTACTGAAATTCCATATTTCATAAGGATATTTTACGTAAAATCATACATAATCTCGAATGTTATCAGTTCTGGAACATAGACCAATTAATATAGTGCTTGCAAAAGTTCTTTTCAATCATAAACATGATTATTTTTGAGAAATTCCTAAAAATAGCCCTAAAACAAGTTTTATTGACAATAATAGCACACATTCCATAAACTTCCAAAAATAGCACTAGTTAACTTACTATTAGTGTTTTTGTTCTAAAAATTTTATCACTAGTTTTTTTTTCAATAATACCACAATTTTTATATAAAAGCTATTCAACAAAATAAATTAGAAATAAGTTTAAAATATTATATTTGGGTTCTCTATTTCTAATTTAGGGTATATATTTCTACCATTTAAAAGAGATTTTGATTCATTTTAATATTAGTTTATGGTATTATATTTGGGTTCCCTATTTCCAATTTAGGGTATATATTTCCACCATTTAAAAGAGATTTTTATTTTAATATTAGTTTGTGGTATTATATTTGGGTTACCTATTTCCAAATTAGGGTATATATTTCCACTATTTAAAAACAATTTTGATTCAATTTAATATTAGATTAGTGTTTGCTCTCTTTTTTATTTTCTATTTTATATTTTCATTAAGTTAAATAGAAGTTTATGGTGCTATTTGTGGAACTTTTCAAATGAGGTGCTATTTTTAGAAAAAACAACTTTTTGGGGCTATTTGTGTCAATCTCCCATTATTTTTTAGAGAAATTACTCAAAATATCACATTTTCAAATTCTGTTGTAAAAAATACCATTATTAGTTTAATGTTCTACAAAATACCACCAAAAGTTTTGGTTTTCCAAAAATACCATAAACACAAAAATTAATTTTTAAGGGTTGAAAATTTAAAATTTTAGATTTGAATTGACTATTTTATATATAGGATATAACTTTTAGGAGGTAGAGTTTAGTCTTTAGTACTTAAGATTTAGTTTTGAAGAATAAAAGTTAAATTTTAGTTTTTGTTAAAATCAGAATTTAAGTGATATTTAAAAATTAAATGTAATATTTTTTGAGAATTACCCTATTTTTTGTTTCCTTGCATACCGATCAAGTTGTAACATTACCCATGACCTTACGACCACAAAATAAAAGTTTGTCCTCTCTATAAATATTCCGGTCTTCAACTTGCGTATTTCATTATATTTGCACGATTACATAATTACACCACTAATGTTCCATTATCACTCCAAAGGTCAAATATACTAAAATCCTTTACATTTTAATATAGATTTCAAATTCTTTCCTCGCATATTAAAACCATCTTACACTGTCTCATTTTCATTTTATCTAATTAAAAATCCAAAATAACCAGCATATATATACTTAAAATACTAGTTGTGTTAAAAAATTTTTTTTTTTTTTGTGCACTTGTTTAGAAACCGAGAGTGTGTAGCAAAGTAATTAAGTATTTATTAATCCAATACTTTATTAATCAACTGTTTGTGGATAATAAACAATAAAAATAAACATCGTCAATATTTTCTTCCGTTGAATCTTCTTCCTCTGTTCTTGTGGTCTTATAGAGGAGCAACAAAACAAATCAAATCAAATCCAAAAACAAGAAAAAAAATATATATTTTGCAGAGCAAAAATAAAAAAGTTGGGAGATATTTTCCAATCTCCAAGAAAATCTGCATTTTGCAATCTTTAAAGAAATTGATTTTTCAATCCGTACGTTTCTTCTTCTTCACCAATCTCACTATCTTCCCATATTTTCTGAAAAAGATCCTCTTTTGCTACGTTCTGACATTAAAGTCTCAAACTTTCATGTAAAGTTTAAGTCTTTTGTGATTCTTTCTTCTGTGTTTTTGAATGGGTTCAAGGTTTTAAAAGCTTTAAGTTTGTTTTAGGGTTTTAAGTTTTGGATAAGCTTATTTGGTGATTTGTGTGGAGATGGGAGAGTTTGAGGTAGAGGGAGAAGAGAAGTTGATTGTTGCTGCTAAGTATCTTGTGAAGGAACTTAGATCTGGTAAGAGTCTTACTAAAAATGCTAAGAAGGTTTTGGGGAATCTCTTATTGGAGTTGTCTCGTGTGGTGATAGCTGAGGATAGAGATGAGGAAAATGAAATAGGTGAGATTGAGCAAAGGCTTAATGTTGTTAGTGAGAAGATTATGACTAGAGAAGTCGATGAATCGATGATTTGGGATTTGGGTTCAGATGAAGGTAATCTGTATTTGGATGCTGTGAATGAGTTGAGAGGTTTGATTGATCGGTTAGACGGTTCTTCGGGTTTAGGGAAGGCGGGAAGTGAGGAGCTTTCTTTAAGAAAAGCTCATGATGTTCTTCAGACGGCGATGGCACGGCTTGAGGATGAGTTTAAGCATCTTCTTGTTGAGAATAGATTGCCTTTTGAGCTTGAACATTCGTCATTTCGGTCTGTTGAAGCGGATCATGGTGTGGAAGAAGAGGCCATGGCTTCGTTTGGCGCTGCTTCTACTGAGGATTTGATTCTTGGAAGCAATAACGATAGTAGGAGAAACTCAGGGGAAATTGTGGTTGATTTGATTAATCCTGATGTTATATCAGATCTCAAGAACATTGCAACCACTATGATTGCTTCGGGGTATGACCGCGAGTGTATCCAGGTATGTACAATGGTTAGAAAAGATGCGTTGGATGAGTTTCTTTATAACCACGAAGTCGAGAAGTTGAGCATTGAAGATGTTTTGAGGATGGATTGGGCTACGTTAAATACGAATATCAAGAAATGGGTTCGGGTTGTGAGGAATATTGTCCAGATATATCTCTTGAGCGAGAAGTCTCTGGATAATCAGATCTTTGGGGACCTAAATGAGATCGGTCTAACTTGTTTTGTTGATACTGTGAAGGCTCCAATGATGCAATTGCTCAATTTTGGTGAAGCTGTGTCTCTTGGTCCACGACAGCCCGAGAAATTGCTTAGGATTCTTGAAATGTACGAGCTAGCATCCGAGCTTTTACCAGAGATCGATGCTCTGTTCTCAGATCATCCCGGTTCATCCGTAAGAACAGAATACAGGGAAGTGATGAAAAGACTCGGGGACTGTGCAAGAACAACGTTTCTTGAATTCAAAAGTGCGATTGCATCGGATGTCTCATCGCATCCTTTCCCTGGAGGCGCGGTTCACCCGCTTACAAATTACGTGATGAATTACCTCATGGCTCTAACAGATTTCAGCCACACGCTCGACTCTCTTCTAATGGAACACGACGACGCAGAAGATCTCACGATACCACCATCTCCAGATATTATCAATCCCGTGATGGTCGAAGAAGAGTCTACCTACGAAAACTCCTCTTCACCAGAGAAATTTCTGGCCATGACCCGACATTTCTACTCCATAACCTCGGTCCTCGAAGCCAACCTTCAAGAGAAATCAAAACTATACAAAGATATCTCTCTACGACACATTTTTCTCCTCAACAACATACACTACATGACCCGAAAAGTACTAAAGTCCGAGCTCAGACATATCTTCGGTGACAAATGGAACCGAAAACATACATGGAAGTTTCAGCAGCAATCAATAGAGTATGAACGCGCAACCTGGCTCCCTGTCCTATCCTTCCTCAAGGACGATTCTGGTTCCGGCTCAGGTCATGGTTCGAAGAATCTACGCCCTAGGGAGCGGTTCCAAGGATTCAACACTGCGTTTGAGGAAGTGTACAAGGCGCAAACCGGGTGGCTAATATCCGATGAGGGGCTAAGAGAAGACGTGAGGACAAAGGCGTCGATGTGGGTGATTCAAGCGTATTGGACATTTTACAGTAGACACAAGAACAATGTGAGTGAAAGGTATATTAAGTACACTACTGATGATCTTGAGAGACTCTTGTTGGATCTCTTTGCTGGTTCTCCTAAATCCTTGAACAATTCTTATAGAAGATGATTATAAATTGTGTTAAGAGTTTGGTTGGTTCATTATAATGTTACAACTTACAAGTATAGAAATATATGTAATTTGTTTTGTTTGTATTGAATTCATTACATTGTAATCTTTATATTCATCGTTTCATGAATATTTTAGTGAAATAAAAGTTTGAGAAGTCTTTGTTGTTGTTGTTGTTGGTTGGTCTTAATGAATTATGATTAGATTTGGAATTTTTTTTGTAATCAAAAGTAAAGAAATGAATTTATTTAGGAGTAAGAGACAAGTCAAAAGAAATAGACTTGACCATTATCACAATTTGCAAAGGTCTTTGGTCAACTCCACGACGTTTCATGGAATCACACTAAACACAACTTGATAATATTTTAACCAATTTGGAATTTTTAGTTGACAAAAAAATATAGAAAAACTCAACTTGGAATTTTCTTTCTGACTTAAATTTTGGGTCAATAATATTTTAATCATCTGCAAACTGTAATACCGTTTTTTTAATTGAAAAATATGAATTTAGTCGCATATAAATATATGATCTTGACTTGACCAATTTGGTTTATAAAGATAATCTACAAAAAGCAAAAGTTATATTCAAAAGACGTTATTGTTTTAGAATTTTCAAGGAATTATTATATAATCTAATTCTATTTATTGAAAGAAAAAAATGATAACTTGGAAAGGCTTCTCCATCATGTATAAAATCAATAATATGAGTTACTATAACAAAAGGATTAATTTCTTGCAAAACAAGTAACTAATATTTTAAAGATTTAACTAAAGCATTAGGCAATGAAGTTCCAAATCAGTAAGACATCAACATTTCTATTGTTACAAACATAAATTGGCATTTTGTTGCCAGATAAGAAGTTTCTGTAATCTAAACACTGTCACGATCTGATTGTCAATGTCTCATCAGAATCGTCATCATCGTCTTCATCGTCTCCATATTCCATCAGCTTTATCAACGTATCTGTAACATCAGGGCACGTGATTGATTGATCATAAATGATGCTAAGTTACCGTTAACCCCAAGATTCGTATCAAATCAGCAAATAAATGGTTTTAATCTAATACCTGGAACTGGATTTGGTTTCTTTACAGTGATGTGGTTGTCCTGTAATCTTGAAGGTTGAGTTGTTGGTGTAAATCGTGGTGGTGGAGGAAGCATGCTTTTTGACGATAGAGGAGACATGATCTTAGAAGGTGGTGGTGGAGGAAGCATGCTTCTTGATGATTGAGGAGACACGGTCTTAGAAGGCGGTGGTGTGATGGTCTTTGGTGGAGGAGGAGGCATTACAGATCTTGGTGAAGGCGGAGACCGCACTCTATTTGCTAATGGCTCCTCAACTATATTCTTTGGAGTGACATCACCTGTCATTGCTAACTCCGATTGCTGCAACATATGATAGAATTAAAACATTCATCGCCATATACACTACAATAGTTAGACGTTTTGGCAGATAAAAAGTGACCATGCAAATATATGAACTATGAAGAGATGGTATTCCTAAAAAGCGGAGAGAGTAATGCGAACACTTTCAAATCCAGGAAAAATGTACCGGAACGCTAAATCATGAAGAATGGATTTGGTAAAACTGTAAAACTTTACAAGTTCATTCACGACCAAAGTGAATTCAAACAACATTTTCATTCAAACAGTCACAAGCTCACTAACAAGTAACATCCTAAGAGATCAGAAGATATATAGCTGCTTGGTTCTAACGACAGCCTAAGCTATGTTTATACGGGTCAATTTCATGTTTATTTTTTCTCTAGCTACATGCATCAAGAAACATTTGACTGCAAACTTTATATCAAGCACATAGTTCTATCTACGGTGGAGAATGAGCATATATTCTACAATGGATAAATGTGTCAGTACATGTCAGTAATGCCAACCTAAATGCAAGGTACTAAAGTGCAGATACATTGGATTATGCAATGCACACATATCACGTCTGTTAAAAGACATTTAAAAGTCTGGATAAAATTTGATTCTGATCGCCAAGTTGAAGCGAAAACGACTCCAAACCACATGGTGCCTCCAATATTAAAAATACCCTGTGAAACATGCAAACCAATGGCCCACGGGTCCAGAATCAGCTAGTTAGCTTCTTAGAAGTTCAGAAAAATACCTGGAATAGTAAGGGGAAAAAATCAGCACAGGATAAAATCATCACAGAGAAACTGAAAAAAATGTAGTAGCACTTAGATGCCATGAATTTTCATGATCCTTGTGACAATCCAATTATAGATTTCATAAACAGGTTTGATACTTTTAGACGCAGACATGCTTAAGAAGATGCATGCTAGGCTTCATGAGGGCAGTATAAAAAAGCTTACCTTTTGTCACCCTACCCAAACTATTTAATCATTTGTCCATGTAAAACACTTATACCTGATCTGTTCCCTCATTCACTAATGCTAATTGTTTACACGTAATACTCCAAAATTTTTATTTCAAACAACCCTAAGAACAAGTTTTCTCATGGTAACTTAATTATGGAAGACCAGGGTTCGACCCATATATTTCTTCGTCAAAATCACTGTGGATGCTGAAATTTGTTTTTACCTGTTTGGCTTTTGCTGGAACCTTACAATCAGCTGGTAGTTCCTGAAACTTTCGCTTTCGGGGTGGATGCCTTTCCTTTTCCTTACTTGAAATATCACTTGGGGTCGATAAGGACGTAGCTGTCAACATAGTAGGGGGCACAGTGGAGATAACAGGAGAAATTGATTGCTTAAGGACTTGAGCAACTTGTTGCAGTGGTGTGGCTTGAGGGTATATTCCAGCATACCCACTATAGCTAGTTCCCCCAGCCACGGGATGTAAGTAACTGACAGGACTTGGATGCAAGTGCCCACCATTTGATATTCCTAGAGGTTGCATTACTGGAAACTGAGGATAAAGACTTGTAGCTGGAGTAACTGGAAACGGACTAACAGTGCTTGGTGGTGCTGCGATGGGGATCGATGTCATCAAACCATATGTTGAAGTCAAATTTGGCGTTTGCTCCTTTTCAGAACCTGGAGCTCCAGAAAGCAGTTGCTGTGGTGGTGGTACTGCACCATACACCTTGCTTGAGGAAACCCTGAAACATTTTGTAGAATAATTACAGATCAGCAAATGAAGAAATAAACATAGAACATGCTTCTGATCAGAAAATAGAAGACCCTATGAAGGAATTAACTTTTAAAAACCAAAGTGGTTTCAAATCTATCAGCAAGCGATAAGTAAATCTTTAGTGACAAAAAGATGATGTAAACAGGAAGAAAGCCTATTATATCTGGCAAACATTGAAGATATTCTGGAAGTTAAAATTAACCTTGAAGCCCCAAATTCTACACTGATCGTATCCATAAGATTCTCAGCTAAACGTTTTGCATCGTCGATGGTCTTTGGGTTGCTGCCGGACAATAATAGATGCAGCGGTAGCTGTGCTTCTGCCATAATGCGTAAAAGACAGGAATTTACATTAACAATGTCATTCAGATATACCCACCTTGCAGGGTATATAACACCTTCATAAGTAGACAAATAACAACACAAACGAAGAAAATAATACCTTCTCCATGTTGGTTCTCAAGGCTTCCAGAACCGCGCCCTCTTAGTACCACAGTTGCTCCTGTTTCATTCATAATGTGATTTATATACTGATCCTGCATGTACGAAAGCCAACCACCACCAACAAAAAAAAAGTTCTCTCCCGATTGCACGGAGATGTCAGAGAGAGCTTCAACATTAGAATCTCTCGAATTCATGGATTGAGGCAAATAAAAGAAAGTGCAAAAATTAATCAAAGATGAAAACATAACACCAATTGGCTAACACTTCTCTTGATTGATATTAGACTAAAGATTCAATTCTTTTGGTGTAGTTTAGAAAGAACAAAGGGGGATATATTTAAGAAAGACTCACATTAGGCCCACGAATACGAGCAGCAACATTAGATGATGGGTCGGCTTCGAAACCCAAATACACGCATGTGCTCTGCATCTGGAAACATGGTTAAATTTGTATTTTTCCAATATCATAACTACAAAAAAAAAGTGACACAGAATCTACCTTGACAGTCGGTAAACCAACTGATCCGACCTGTGAAATTGATTTCTGTTTCATCATCTCCTCAATCATAGCTGCTGCACGATCAACTGCTAAAATACGTTCTGTAGTCTCGTTTAACTGCACGTGCAATAACATAAGTAAAAACCAGGCGAACTTCTCAAAGCTCAGAGGTCAAACAAAGCTTCTCAGATATGGGAAACAAGGAATTTCTTCAAGCCACCAACGTTTTACTTTCTGCCACTCACATGCGAGACATCTATCACATTTCCAAAACATCTCGACACATTATAGTTTCTATCAAACAACCTAATCAGTAATCACACAGCACTAATCACTAGCTTCTTAGCCTAGTCCTTTTGATTCCCCTTGACTATTATTCTGTTAGGCTAAAAAGGATAACATACCTGGGCAGCAGCAGATATGTGAAGATACAACGGCTTTTCACCATCAAGAGGTGCATTTGGAGGACGATACTTGCCCCTACAAAAAAAGTTCATCAGTTAAATCTAGAAAAGATTATTGTAAAACTTTCTTCTCCATGAGTTGGATGTTGGACAAACCTAGTAATCACCACAGCACCGGTAGACCTCTGAATCTGCAAGACGAATAGATGTTAAAAAACTAGGAATAGGAAAATTGTATCTAATACGCATAGCAGAGTTACACATACATCTTCTTGAGTTGAGCGTTTAGTAAGCTTGTGCCTAAGAGAAGCCTCAGCATCGTTGATAACAATTTCTCGCGCTATGATCAACTCATCCTGTATCTTATGCTAGATGGACATTACAATGAATCACCATGTTTGACTTACAGAATAAAAGGAGGATAAAGACATATACCCACAAACAACAGCTCGTTCAGTATACAGGCAATAATGTTAAAGTCACAAACACAGCCACCATATTTCGAGCACTTCTGAAATATCATACATGACCAGAGGAAACTAGACCAATACATGGTAACACTACTTTCTAATCATGTTGTTTCAAGAGATGCAGCAATTTTAAGGAGGTACTACAATCCACTAGAAACATATAATAAGATACCAAATTAGATTAAAACATGACATATCATCTTTGCCATAGTGCATAATGCAATAGCTAAGCCAGAGAAAGGTTCACCCCGAAAATAAGTATAACAAACACCGCAAGAGCATAAGAGTTATTTACTTGATTAACTTTTGGACCTGGTGGAGGCACAGAAAGCGTTTGGAGCAATGGTGACATAGAAGGAACATTCATAGTATTCCCTAAAGGAAGTAACTGAGGAAACGCAAGTCCAGCCGCAACAAGCTGCTCCGCTGGCTGATCCCACTTTCTCTTTCTCCTGCCACCCAATTCATAGAATTCTCTATCAGTCAACAACTAAAGATACAAATTGGTTAGGAATTAAAGATGAACATAGCCTAAACATAATGTTCAGAGCCAAAATCTTTATTCACAATCCATAGAATAAAGATGCTAAGGATGAACATAGCCTAAACAAAAGGTTCAGAGCCAAAAATCAAAAAAGCCACAATCTTTATTCACAAAATAGATTCCAAAACCAAAATCAAAGTAGTTGAAGCAACAATCCAAAGAAGGGCATGAATCGAATGGTTAAAACTCGGTGTCAATTTCAAGAAAATGTAACAGATTGAAGATGATAAAGATGTGATTAGGTTGATATTTGGAATGGCTAAAACAATGAAAGTTGATACCTTTGTCTCGTTCGAGAAGTATCGTTCGTTGTAGACGAGTTGCTTGGAGAAACCCTAGCATCATCGTTGTCCTCTGTCATCTTAGAGCCGTTCGCTGATACAAAAGACTACAAAGAGAAGAATTCAGATTGAAGAAACTCCAAATCGCATAATTTTCTTCGAAGAGGTTAAAAGCTTTTCCTTTTTTGGCTCTCAATTAAAAATTGGGTTCAATTGATAGATAGAAAAGAGTTTGGGGGTTTTATGGGGAAAATAAAAGAATTGGAAGAGTTTAATAGTGGGGGACAGTGGCCAAACTCAAACCAAACAATTGGCTGCATGTCTTTTCCAAACTAAATTGCCATACCATGCAATTATGAACCTGAACCAACAAAATTTTCAAATTAGCAACCTGAACCAAATAACTGTTAGCTGATTTCTACATCGATATTCACGGTGTTAGTAAACTGTCAAACGGTGTTAAGGTAGACGACACCGTGCGGAACACTTGGACTTAGAACTAAGTACTGTTTAACGGTTTACTAACCATGTGAATGTCAACATCAACTTTAAGTTGTCACAATGTCGCTACATCGTCGCAACGATGTCGTCTGACTCAGCACTGTTAAAGTCAATGTAGAAATCAGCTAACGGTTATATAGTTCAGGTTGATAATTTGAAAAGGCATCCGGCAAATTGTTTGAGTTGATTTGGCCGTTTAGTCTCAATTCTCAAATCTGTTTATTTTTAGAAAAAAAAAAGTCAAAATCAACCCAAACATTTACCAAATGCATTTTTATACCCAAAAAATGGTATCATGCATTTTTAAACCTAAACCAATAAAAAAAATCAAATTACCTACATAAATCGTGTAGGTCAAAGTAGGAAACACCTAATAAACTTATCTAGAAGATTTTGTTGCACAAAAAAATGAATGAGATTCTAAGAATCCAATCGATCAACACTATTAGTGGAAGAACTAAATCAATGATCTTCTACATCACCCATAATCGAAATCAACTGTTTCAAATGAATGACTTGGCTTGAGCAATCTAGGCTGTTGATTCTATTCTCCGAGATTTTTTTTAATAAAAATTAATCTAACGATTCAAAGGAGAATAAAGAAGTAGCTTAAGAATTCAAATGAAGCATGTTTAATTTCATACTTGCTCAATAAAAGAAAAAGATGGAGTTGTCTCGATTTGGTTGCAATAGTTGAAACTATCCTAATCTACGACGCAATGAATACAAATTGAATGAATCATTTGTCTATAGGCAGATTGGCAAAGCATCTTAAAAAAAATCTATGAGGAGAAATTTCAGCGAAAGCAAACAGTACTAGTGACATTACAGATCAATTTGTTATCGACAAGGTAAATGATGAAATCTCTGAAGAAATAATATAGAAGAGAGGATTACAGTAGACGAGAAGGCAACTGGGTGAAGCCTCTTCTTCCTACCGCATATCACTGCATCGAGCCTCAACTGCGGGTCCAAACTGGACTTATGTACTTAGTATTGTAATACATTGTTGACGCTTCTTCGTCCTAAAATATAATGGAAAAAGATACTTAACACATCAAACATCATAATCAAATCCAATGATTGGTTTTTAATTGGATTTTAGTTTTTGGTTTTTTTGTTTTTTGGTGTAAATTTAAGTTTTTGCAAAATTTTGAATACTAATTTGTTTAGTTTATATATATATATATATATATATATATAATTATTTTAAGAAATTTATATTACTCCTTATGCTATCTATTTTGAATTTTAGTTTTTTTTTTTGTGTTTAAAACATTAAGAAACAAATGTCACCTAATTTTTGTTATAAAACTCATAAATTTTAGTTTTTGGACTCCAGATGTAAAATCTCTTAAAATCTGTTTTTTTTGTAATTTTTCTAGAAAATCTACTTTAATTATAATCATGAATGGATAATTCTGGTTTTTGCATGCAAAATCAAAAACAAAAAACTGCTTTAAAATCTACAGCCTTTTTAAGGCCTAGTAATATCAATATATCATATTTGAATCAAAATATCATAATACATAATCAAAAACAAATTTGAATGCATGATATCATTATCATGATTGTAGAATACTAAAATTGAGTCGAAATCGTATTGAATATCATAATCCCATTACCTATCGTAATCTGAGTTGCATTAAATTTCTAATTTTAATAACAATAAAGGATTAAACATTATGTAATAAAAAAATGAAAGATTTCAGTTCAATAATATCTGACATCATTGTTTTTCGTATATTACTTGTCGCAACATTACATTTTTATGGTTTAGTTTTGTAGCGAAAATGTTTAAAATTTTGAGTTTGCATTAAATTAATATAGTTTAAGAGCATATTATCTTGTTCGTCCAGTCTTAGCCAATACTGATATCATGGTGCTTGGAATCTTTACTTTTTTTGTGGAAAAATTTGTCAAGGAGACTGCGAATATATCCATAAAAGTTTTTTGTTGTGGATGTTGTTGGATACCTAGCAACAAGTGTTGTTGACCTTCTCATATTTCACTTCGAAACCGATATGTTGAGACTAAATTTGTCATCATTAACACGTTGTAGATTATCATGATTAAATTATAATTACACAAAATATCATAATCACATTACATATCATAATCTAAATCACATTAGATATTATAATTTGAATAGCATTTAAATACAATGTAGTCAACATTGTAATGTTTTTTTTTTTTAATATGTGTGTCAAAAGTCAAAACCATAAACGATACTTATTTATAAACGGAAGGAGTAATCTGTGATCAAAATCGGAGATTAATACAATCATTATCAAAATCAAATCTTAATCTCACTGATTAGTATAATCGTCGTATGATTATATATCCGAATTATTTTAATTATAATATAAATAAAATTAAATACGATGTAATCAAAATTGAACATGAATCGTACCAATATTGTAGAACATGAGATTTTGGAGATTCATATAGGTTTAAATAATCGTATAAGAAAATCACAAGAAAGAGTGAGTTTGACAACGACAAAAGAGGTAGATTGAAATAGAATAGAAATATAAAATAAAAATAAAGATAATCAAACATAGTAAACATACTCTATATATTAAAAGAGAGTCATTGATGCTTATATGTCAAGCTCACAATTATTTTTATCATTTTATTTTTTATTTATTTAACGAGGAATCTTAACAGATCCACGCCACGAGGAATGGCAGACTCCAGATCGTGATAGAAATGTAGGGGCTGGTCCGGATTCTCGGGTGTGGGCAAATTATCATGTAATGCTGGCCAAGTGGTAGCAAAAATCGGTTGTGTCACGTCGTCCTCCTTCATCGCAAAAGCAGAACAAAATCGATGAGAATTATGAGAGGAGTCGGCAGATCTCAGGAGTCACATACGAGATAAATGACCTAGTTAACCGGGGAAAAAAAGCACACAAATCCCAATGGGCTCTTGGACTTCAAAATTCTAAAACGTTTCTCATATTGTTTGTTTATTTACTAGGACTTAGACCTTCCGCGATGTCGCAGGGGAAAAGATTTCAAAAAAAAACCAGAAACATGAGAGGCAGAGAAAAGATGATGACGAATCAAAATTAACAATTAACACAATTTAATCAAAATCATCAAATATGAATCATACCAGAAATGTAGATCAAGATATTTGAACAAGATTCATACTGGTTTCAAAATCGTGAGTTTCAAGTAGCAAAAGAATTGTGGATTGAAAATTAGACTTGTTTTTTTATTTCCTCCAATTTAAAACTTTTTATAAATCATGATATCTTTTAAAATAACGTAAAATAATTACGTAAAATATCATGTTTATAATGTTTTAAAATATAAAATATATAATTTTTTCTTTGAAACTAACTCTCTGTTAATGTGAAAAAATTTGTTTGTCTTTAAATCATTTAAGAACTTACATCTAGACTAGACAATTCAAAATTTATTATTTCGAAATTTTTTATTAGTTGTTATAAATCACTTGATTAGCGTTGTTGGGGTCAAAATGTGACATGATTCTATGCATATGATTAAATATTAGAACTAGACATGCATCTAGATTTCAAAAATCTAAAGTCGTATGGGTCTCAAAAGTTTTTTTTTTAAACCACTTTTAAAATCTCGCCTCAAAATGTTTATGCATATAATTGAGTATAAGAATTTGAATTTGAATTATTCTTAAATTCCAATTAATCTTTTGAATGTGTTGGACTATAGTTGGGTTAGAGCCCATATATAGTTGGGCGTTAGTATTTAGTGGACTGACCATGCATTAGCTTCTCCTCTACATCAGTGGACAGTCCTGAACACATTTGCTTTCTCGAAAAAAAAAATTTCTCTCTCGAAATTTGTCACTTTCTTGACTCTTCTGTTGTATGTTTTCATATGTTAAAATCATTTGCATGTTCATAAATCAGATGTGAAAGATAATTTCGTTTTAATAATTATTGCAGAGGTAAAGAGACTTTCTCCTTCAATTCTCCCGGAAAATTATGACAGCGAAAGAAACTGCAATTTCTCCAAATCTTAAGAAAGTATAATCAGAATCCAGTGTCTGATCATGCTCTTCTTAGGTAAATGTCATTGCCTTTTCTGGATATTGTTATTGTTGTTTCATTGTTTGTTTCTTTAATTTCGCCCATTTTTTTTGAAACTTCTTGTAATTCGTCATTTTTGGACTCTGTTTCTTTTTTTTCAGAAACTCAAATCCTTTGCATCTTCTTAAAAAAGATATTTCTTCTTCACAATTTTTGCATGCATTCAGTCTTTAAGTAACAAAGCATTTTTTTTTTTTAATGTTTGTTTTTGTTCTGTTTAAATTATATATGGGTTCTTTTGGAGTCTTTTGTATCTTTGAATGTTTAAATTTTGGTGAGATTGCAAAGCATTGACATATATATACTTGTTGAGGAGTTTCAGTTCTGTGACAAAATAGTGATGCAAAGAAAACATGGTAGGGTCGAAGATACCGTATCGTTGGAATGATAATATTAAGAAAAAAAAATCAAGTTTTCCAAATCTTCCAACAATGTTTGCCAAAATTCTGCAATTGTTGGCCATTTATTGTGTAATGCAGGCTATTCGAAGGCGGAAAATGATCCGAAAATGCAAGGAATATACAATTATACTTGGAAGTCTAACTCTGGAATGACCAAATCAAACACTCTGAACCAAACCATGGTTGCTTCAAGACCGAAGAAGCGTAAAAGTTCAATTTTCTTACAATCACCATGGCACAAAGTAAATCTACAAGGTTTAGAGTTATGTCACATCATCAGGTGATTTCTTCAGACCAATCTAATACCACATTCTTGAATCTTGATGATGATTATGTTATATATATTGTTCACCATATTAGACGTTTAAATATTTACTCTCTATAGAATTGCTGAACAAGAATGGGGCCTTGCGACAAATACACTAAGTGAGAAGGTTTCAATACTCTTATACTTTTCATTTTTTCCTTTAGTAATTTCCATCTCCATCTTCACAAAGATATTTGATTTTGTTGTTGTTACCGTCTGATGATAAGGTCGATACAAATGAGGCGATATCTCCATCAAAGAGAAGGCTTGTTTTATCCACACATCTTATGCAACAGCTTCTCCAACCAGCACCAGCGTTTGTTTTCTTGGGCGACAACGCAGCTCTCAACTACGAAATCGTGCTTTACTTTGTGTCGAGAATCACCCTCGCTGATTCATGTTCTCTCAAATGCCACTCGAACTTGAATAAGAGCATAAAGTGAGTTCCAATATGACTTCAAATGTCAATTTATCTCTGTTTCTTATGACTTGCTAACTTCCCTAAAGACATGTTTTGTCCAGTCGTCAAACTTCGAAGACAGCTAGTGATCAACAGTTTTCTTCACTCATTAATGCTTTCATGGAGAAAATACATAAGCTTGAAAGTGACTTCAAGAGGTATGAATCAGCTTGTTAATTGTCTTGAAATGTTAATGTTTCTTAAGTATACGTTTTCTTTTTCAAATTGTATGCAGCTTGGAGAGGACTACATCGATATTAGACATCATCTTCGAAATCCAAGACCTCGAAAGGTTCTCTGTGATAAATCATCTGGGCAAGTTTCATAACCGCGCAAAGACCATTACAAGACCTATTCCGCAGAGGTACATTGTGGGAATACAAATGCCAATGAACCTACCAGAGCCACTACATTGTCTTCCTCTGTGATCATATCAGATTTTTTGGGGAAGAAAGATAGTTTTGATGTGTATAATCTCTAAATTACACTAATCTTATGTAACATAATATATATATAATGTTTTTTTTTTAATTATTTTGTAAATGTTCTGGTTACAAAATATTTGGTTTCTTATAATGTTGGGACAATCGTTAAACAAACAATTGGAAAAAAGGAAACTAATTAATTTCCGTTGAATTATCTTACTTCATAAAATAAAAAGGAAATTAAAAAAAAAGGAAACTTTACTTTTACCATTGGTAAATAGTAACACAGTAAAATCATCAAAATCCTATTAGAAAAAGAAGTTACTTTTATCCATCCTCTATAAATACTCTGCTTTGTGTATCAAATCAACGAATCGACCCTGAAAAAAAATTGAAGAAGAAGAAAGAAACCCTAAGAAGATGTTGATGGAGGAAGAGACTTGCTTGGACTGCAAGAGACCGACCATAACGGTGATTGATCACAGTAGCGGCGACACCATCTGCTCAGAGTGTGGCCTTGCCCTCGAAGCTCACATCATCGGATACTCTGAGGAATGGAGAACTTTCGCCTCCGACGACAATCGCAGTGACAGAGACCCAAACCGTGTTGGTGCTCCGACGAACCCTCTTCTCAAATCCGGCGATCTCGTTACCGTCATCGAGAAACCTAAAGAGAAAGCTTCCTCTGTTGTGTCCAAAGATGATCTCTCTACTTTGTGCCGTGCGCAGAATCAAGTCAAGAATCATGAAGAAGATCTAATCAAGAAAGCATTCGAGGAAATACAGAGAATGACTGATGCACTATACCTAGACATCGTTATATACTCTAGGGCTTGTGAGATTGTTTCCAAATTCGATGGTCACGCTAACACGAAATTACGCAGAGGGAAGAAGTTATACGCTGTTTGTGCAGCCTCTGTTTCAATGGCTTGTCGTGAACTGAAACTGTCGAGGACATTGAAAGAGATCGCTATGGTTGCCAACGGTGTTGAATTGAAGGATATTCGCAAATCTAGTATGGTGATAAAGCGTGTTCTTGAATCAGATCAAGCCTCAGTGTCTGCTGCTCAAGCGATTATCAACACCGGAGAACTTGTTCGCCGGTTCTGTTCCAAACTTGATATAAGTCAAAGAGAGATAATGGCGATTCGAGAAGCGGTTGAAAAAGCTGAGAATTTCGATATCCGAAGAAACCCTAAGTCAGTTCTTGCTGCAATTATCTTCATGATCTCTCATATATCTCAGACCAACAGGAGACCTATTCGAGGTAACTGAATAATCCTTCTTTGCTTAATTCTGTATTTGGATTTAACTTCCACTACAAGTTAGGGCTTACTAGCTGACTGAATTTCTTAGTTGTTAAATCTAAGTAATTGTGCTGATGATTGTTGGTTTTGCAGAAATTGGGATCGTTGCGGAAGTCGTGGAGAATACGATCAAGAACTCGGTTAAGGATATGTACCCTTACGCCTTGAAGATTATACCTAACTGGTATGCTTGTGAAGCAGACATTGTCAAGAGATTAGATGGTGTCATAAATTCTTGGGATTCTGCAAAAATTATAGTATAAGGAAGTCACTACCTGAGAGAGAAGCTTTGGGATTGTTGTAGTCTCTTTTCTGATGCATTACATACATACATCTATGTATACTCTATACAGTATAGACGTTGGTTTTATGGAAGTATATTTTAGACTTGAGCTTATGTAACATCTTCTTTATGATATACGTCATTCAAAACGTCAATGATCATATATCAAGTAAAACCATATACAATATTGTTCTTTCCTTCCTCTACTTATACACTTAATAGTAGTGAGTCGCTTTTCAAAGATACCTACGCCATTAAATTTTTCTTGAAAGATTTTGAATAATATAGGAAAGAGTCCAATTATTCAAAATATACTATACAACGGTAGAAAGTTCACTGGCAATAAATATTGTTCGTTGGAGCTACTAATAGCAGAAGCATGTCACAACAACAAGCCATAACTATTTAGGCAATTTCAAATTATGTGATCAATTGCGACACAATGAAACGAACAATAATAGCGATTATGGAGGAAAAGCTCTATTGTAGGAATTCTCCAGATTTTTGAAAAATTTGCAGAGTTTTCAGGGCTGCAGATTAATCTCGAAAATTCTACGATATACATGGCCGGTGTGAAGGAGAGTGACAAGGAAGCCATTCTCCACACCTTTCCTTTCGAATCTGGTGCTTTACCTGTTCAATACCTCGGTTAATTATTGTTAACAAAGAGAATGGCATCAAGTGACTACACGCAGCTTATAGAAAAAATCAGAGCACCAATTGGACGGCAAGACACCTATCCTTTGCTGGTCGTCTGCAACTCATTAACAATTTTTGGATGTCCGCTTTTCGCTTACCGAATGGAGATCGCCAGCTTGTGCTCCGCTTTCTTGTGGTCTGGACCCGACCTAAACACTAAGAAAGCAAAAGTGGCGTGGAGTGATGTGTGTACACCGAAGGAGGAAGGAGGTTTAGGCCTCAAATCATTAAAAGAAGCAAACAAGGTTAGTTGCTTAAAGCTTATTTGGTCAAAATCTTTGTGGGTGCAGTGGCTACTTATTACGAAAGGGCTCCTTCTGGTCAATAAATGAAAACACATCTGCAGGGTCTTGGATGTGGAAAAAGCTACTCTCAAATATAGAGCTCTAGCTTCTGAGTTTGTAAAGAATGAGATACAAAGTGGTAGAAATATCTCTTTTTGGTTTGCTAATTGGTCACAATTCGGTAGGTTTAGAAATCACAGGAAAAAGAGGTTGTATTGATATTGCCTATGGGGATCACTCTTCACGCCACTGTGGCTGAAGCAGTAGAGTGAGTCATAGAAGGAGGCGCCACCGGATAGATATTTTAACTCAGTTGGAAAAAGCTCTCGAAGACATACAGTCTATAGGGTTAATAGAAGCGGAAGACATAGTGCGTTGGAAGGGAAAGGGTGATCGTTTTTGTTGGATTATTGAGATTATGAAGAAACAGAGTAAGAGAAAAAAATTATCTCTTCTCGTTTAGAGAAGCCAAAGAACGAAAACAGAAAACTTTTTATTAATCTGAAACTTGTTGTTCTGTTAAGACATGACATACACACTTATATACATGTTTACATAACTACTCCACGTAACCGTTGGTAACAGTTGTAACTTCTCCGACATGTTCCGTCTCTTACTCACACCCGTTCGTGGTAAGTCATTTGTAACACATTACATCCGTTGACTTTACACACAAACTAACACATATGATATTAGAAGATTTAATCATGGACTCAATTCTAACAGTTTTAAAACAAAATTCAGTGCAAAAGTGACTTGGGAAGCTACTCGAGAAGCAAAGCCAAAGGTAGAGTGATATAAAGGTATCTGGTTCTCACATTCCACGCCCAAATACTCATTCCAGTTTGGCTTGAGATAAAGAATCGCTCAACTACCGGGGACAGAATGTTATGTTGGAATGTCGGAGTAGATCCATCATGTGTCTTCGGTCATGAACCCTTGGAAACCCGCAGCCACTTGTTCTTCACATGTCCATACTCGGCAGAGGTTTGGTCGGGACTCACTAGTCTCGCAACAATCCACAATAGTTTGGTAAACAGTCATAAAGCTCCTCACGGATAGGTCTCTTGGGAATGAGTGCTTGTTCTTGATGAGATATACCTTTCAGCTCACGGTCCATTAAGTATGGAAAAAACGAAACTGTCGTCGACATGGAGAAGTACCCACTCCCTCAGCTCACATGATCCGAGGACTTGATAAGCAAGTCTGGAACATAATCTCCTCCGTTCGAGAACATGGTGATAGGAGTACGATAATTGTATGGCAATTTGGTTCGGTTCAAGATAATATAGGCGCCCACATCTTTGCTCTCTTTTAAATTTGTATTCAAAAGCCGCTAAAACAAACACTGCACTTGATGTAAAAACGTGTTTTTCGAATAAATTTTACATTTTATTCAAAAAAAATAATAGCGATTATAAAAGAAAGTTTAAATTCAAATTAAATTAAATTTTTAAAAATTAATTAAGCAAAATAAACAGAAAATTAAGTTAATTTTTTAAAAATTAATTGTGAATTTATATTCACTAATAGTATATATTTATTCATCAATATTTTTATTAAAAGAAATTATTAATGAAAAAATATCTAATTTCTTAAAACTTTAATAATATAAATTCTCACGAATTTATAAATTTACAAGTACGAAAATATAGCGAACAATTGCAATGATAGCAAAACAAAAGTTGGTCATGATGGCCATTATTGTTAGTTGTTGGTCATGTTGGTAGCTGATGTCCTAAGTAAAAATCTTATTCTTGCAAAACTAGAGTTATACATCCGCTGTTAACCTCGATGATGATTATGAGAATGATTATCAATCGATATAAGCAACGATAGTAAACTTTTAATGAAATAGGCCAATCACCCTAATACATTTTGTTAAAGTACCGAAAAAAAGCATTATCTTGAAAAAGACGTGAGGATTATATCGTGATTAATGAATGAAAGAGCTATATTATTTCCAAAGAACGTGTGGAGAAATATCATACCAAAAAATATATATTAATATATAAGAGATATAAGGTAATCCATTCAATACCAATTAATTTTGAGTCAGAAATCAATAAAACTTAAAATCCTTTATTATCGAAAACCTCCCTCGCCGGATCTGCTAAGTCATTTACTAATGTATTTTTGTTTCAAGAAAAAAAGAAAATCTGACGTTTGTAAGATTTTAAAATCTATTACTAAACCTCTTTTTATTGCGGCTCTAGCTCTGTTTCTCAGGCTCTACTTGTTTAAAGCACGTTTTGAATATATGGACTGCAACAAGTGTTGATATCCATTATAGAACTGCATTTTTTTTGGGACTGAATCTATATCCATTAGAAATATTTGTTGGTTACCTTGCAACAAGTGTTGTTGTCCTTCTCATCTTTCATTTCAAAGTACACGCTGAATATGTTTTCCGAATTGTAATCGAAGGCCGATATGTTGAGACAAGATTTGCAAATATTAACAGGGTTGTAGATTATCATAATCGAATTACAGTTGCATTGAATATCATGATCCAAGTGCATACCATAATCTAAATCACATTTAATTAGCATATAACATAATGTAGTTAAAATTAAATTTGAATCATAACAATTTCGGTGTTAGCATTTCATTTTGAACTTGAAGATGTCGCAGAAATTCAAAGCTTAATCGATTGGTTGCATTATACTCAATTTTCAACATACTTTAATGCAAAATTCCAAAAACAATAAGTACTCACAAATTTGGGCAAATTTTGTTTTAAAATTATTATTGCAAGCCTACATGAACCAAGTTTACACCATAATCAAAATCCAGTAAACACAATACAAAATAATATCATATCTGAATCAAATCATTATAATATGTAATTAAAATTGTAGAAAATACAATTATTATCAAAATCGAATCCAAATCTCATTGAATAGTATAATCGTATTATGTATCCTAATTCGAATTATTTGAATTATTATAATATGAAAAAAAAATTAAATACGATGTAATCAAAATTGAACATGAATCGTACTAATATTGTAGAACACAAGATTTTAGAGATTCATACTGATTTAAATAATTTTGTAGGAAAATCATAAGTAAAGAGTGAGTTTGGGAAAAAAAAATAGAGTAAATTGACTAAAATGGAAAAAAAAAAAAAAGAGATAATTAAACATCTATATATACATTTTTGAAGTACAAATATGAAATAAATCTTAGAGTTGACACTTATTTACAATAGAATGTCATTGTCATAAATATTTATCTATTAATTAATATTACAAATTATTTTCGAAAAAATATTTTAGAAACTGTGGCTTCCAAATATGATAACAAATTGATTATGTTTCTAAATTCGATTAATTGCTAATTTCCTGACACCTCTCTACCTAATTTAAGCATTAATATATGATTATTCTTTCACTTTTCTATGATCTTATATTTAATTTATTTTGAATTTATATAAAATACATATAATTAGTAAAATAATAGATTTTCTGCATATAATGTGATTCAAATTTTTTAAAACGCACATATATTACTCAATCGATGGAGTAACAATATGTGTACAATGTCTCATATTGCTTAAAAATTAGGCAATGGTTCAGAGTCATACTATAAAAAGGATCAAAATGATATCAAATACAAATGAGCAAAAAGTTTAATTTATCCGGTTTACTCTGTGTCTTTATATTAAAGTATTGAAACTTTTAAAAAGTTTCAAAATATTATAAATATTTAAACTTTATTTAAAAGGTAAATATTATAATTACTAGGACTCAGGACCCCGCGATGTCGCGGGGGAATATATTTCAAAAATCATTTAAAAAAATATCAAACGAAAAATGTAATAATTTTGATTTTTTTTAATAACAAATCAATATATATTTTACAAAAATTATGATAAAGAAAACCCTCACAAGCATTTATTAAGTATATTAATATTAGAAAAACAATAATTTGTAACTAAAAAACTATTCCCAAGTGCAAAAAGCATAAACTAATAAACCAAATATTACAATGGTTTGATAAATAAGCAAAAACGTTCAACGTCAAATAAACCAAATGCTATTGTGTTAAATTAAACGGTAACAACAATTCATTTAAATATATTTTAGTATTTAAATATTTTTTTAAAATATGACGAACTTATCCGAGAAACGCAACCGTAGATATCAAATATTCCAAAAACTGCAACGGTTCGTCAATTATACCAAATGTTGCAATAGTTC